TTCTTAAACTTATTTTTCTTAAAACATAGAACAGTAAATAAAGAACTAAAATAAACAGTTATCTCTTCTAGTTGCAATCTTTGTTCTCGGTTGCTGCTTGACATAGGTTGGTAAGCCTTTTAGAATTTTGCACATGGAAGATATGAAATTAAATAATTTTTTTTGGTTTTATATGTACAGTTGAATAACCAAAATATCATAAATCACTATATCAATACCATAGAATTCCACTATAATTTATCAAGGTTAGTAACTAAGCTGTATTTCAGTCTAAAAAGATATGAAATTTCGATCAGACTAAAGACACAACCTACCTCTTGAAATCTTGGTTCAAAAGAAAGAGATGGCATCCAGTGACATTAAAATGGCTGAGAAAGCCACTAGGGGGATATTCTGATCTTTCAATTGGTTATTCAGGTTATATATAGTTCTTAGAATTACTTATTTGAAATAGTTTTTCACTTGTCTGTGATTTGATATACTATGTTAGTTTACATTTTTTATATTTTTCTTGCAACAATGGAAAAAGGTCAGTAAAACAACAAGACTTATAACAATTAATGTGTTTTGGCTGAATGCAGCTGTTATAAATGTTACTTAATATTTGAATCGATTTCAGGCATTTGCTGAAATATGATTATGATAAGAGAAAATAAGCTCAGTATGGAGATTTTTTTTCTAAACTATAGTATATTTAAATTTGAACAATGGTTATTTCTAACATGGACTGATGGAAATTTTAAGCTATTTGTTTTGTTACATGTAGTCTGGACATGAATCCAGATTTGATGTCTCTTCATATTGGAGATAGAATTCTTGAAGTAAATGGGACTCCAATCAAAGAGCACTCCATAACACAGGTTAGATAATACTTAAGTTCACGAAATTATATTTCAATGATAGTTTTAAGAAAGAACCATGACTTTTCAGATACTTTGTAAAAACTAATACTTTTTCACAAACTGTAATATCTCCTGTTGATGTATGGGATGTTATTTGTTAATCAGTTCAGAATCAGTTTTAGGAGGGTTCATTAACTGCAAAGAATTCTTGAATTGTAATTTTGGATGATAATTAAGAATTGAAAGAATGATTGCCTAGCCTAGGTATTTGTCTTTGTACTTTGTTTACATTGATTTCTTATATATAACTAAAAAAAATGTTCTTACATTACTCATTCTCATAGGAAAGATTTAGGTAGTGTCATGTAAATAATTTATGTGGTTGTTCAGCTTTTATAATGGTTAATTGTTTATGGCACTTCTCATTTCAGTTATAAACATGTTAACAATCAGTCATAATTTAACTCTTTGTTTACATATAAGTGTATTGCACAGTATGTAATCATCCAAGTAACCATGCGAGCAGTCATACTGTAACTTTTGATAATGTACATGTATCTTCACAAAATTTTGAATATTATCAGAAAATGTTACAAGGCCTTCATAGACAAAATATCAAGTTTTTTAATTAAATATTAAGAGTTTTTAATTAAGGATTTGCCTGTGATTTTTTTTTTAATGTTGACTATGCAACATGCAAAGTAATTTTTATTTCAAGGTTAAAAATACTTCATCTGAAATTTACCCAGGGAGCCAAAGGGGATTTAGCAGCTGTGGTGCTGGTCTGCTGTCAGAAGATAGTGTAATTGTTTTCATTAGTATGGACCTTAAGAAAAATTTTTAGGTACAGATTTACACAGGAGAACCTGGGAAGGGCTGTTTCCATGGCAACTATGGTTAAAAATAGGTCATTTTTCAAAGATACCTATTCTGCTATAATGCTGTTCTTATATATAAAAGTAATATATATATATATATATTGAGTAATATATCAAATGAAAGAGGAAAACATCCTCTAAAATGTAATGATATCAATGCTTAAATTAGCTCATTTCTATATTCATGAGATCTCATTAAATTGCCAATTTTTCGTCAAAATTTTCAATCCTGGTCAAAAATAATTCACTACTGTTTAATGCTTTGAGATTATTCAAGGCAACAAACATAAGCAATATGATGCTGAATGAAAGAGAAAGAAAGTATCTATTAAATGGTATGTTTTTGAAGCAAACTTGTTTACTCATTGTGTCTAATTAAACACAAATAAACATAACAGATTATGTCATAATGCTATAATTGAAAAACATGTTAACAGCCACACTTTCAAGCACTAACAGTTGAAGCTTTATTGAAAATGCATTCACATAACATAAGCAATAAATATGCAGATTTCTATATTAATGAATTAAATAATATTGAGAGATAGGCATGACAGGAGATAATGGAAACCTTATCATGCAGTATTTCAATTTCTTATGTTATGACACTTAAGCAGTCTTCATCACAGCTGTTCTGCTTAAAATATTTTGCCCTGCAGCATTTACATGGTAGGCCCTAACAAAAACATCCTCAGTAGCAAGGAACATTGTTTTTGCTGCATGTACAATTTCAAAACATATTTTCTTACACATACATTTCACAATGGTATCTAGACTGGCTGGGAACAAACTACTCTTCATCATAACAGGTTTATGTGTGTTTCCATCTTCAGTCTCCTATCCAAAAAGTGTGAATGCAGGTAAGCATGGATTGGGGAAGAGCGATGATTTTCCTATGAGCATTGCCAAAGCGGCATGTTTGATGTGTTCTTCCAGTGTATCAGCTGTAGGGGGTACAGAGAGAAACAGACTCAAGTTCCCCTTTAGAAATTTCTGTATTCTCAATTCAGTGAGCAGAGTGTGTCATTTTGATCTTCTCCAAATGACTTGATGAAAATATCACTAAGCGACATCAAGAAATGTTTCTTCTGTTCATATTGACCATTTGTGAATATCATACATTGCACCAACCACAAATGCTGGGTCAACAATGTCTTCTGAAATAGCCTGTTCAATGTTAACTTTAGTTTCATCAAGTAACAGCTTAGTTAATGTTGATTTATATTCCCTTCGTAGAACACTACTGCTGCTTATTAAAGATGATGGTACATTTATGCATTCATGGTCCCCAACTAGATCTTGTAAGTTGACCAGTCCTCCAGCAGCTGTGATTTGGGACAATCTCTGCAACAGGTTGATTTTGGTGGCATTAGTTCAAGTAATTTGAGATGAATTTATTTTGGTCTGTGTAGCTTCAAATGTATGAATTTTTATGGCAACAGTGTCTCTGCAACAGGTTGATTTTGGTGTGGTGGCATAAGTTCAAGTAATTTAAGATGAATTTATTTTGGTCTGTGCAGCTTCAAATGTATGAATTTTTATGGCAACAGTGTCATCTTTGTCAAAACCAAAGAAATAGCATCTTCTCCTATTTTCGTCAGATGGGTCAAGTCATGTTGGTTTTATGATAAGCGTGTAGTCCCATTGAACCACAAACTAAATCTTCTAGTTAGGGCTCCGTGAATGAATTGGTAGTTTTAATTAAAACTACTTGCATTATGTGTTCCATAGCTTCAACATCCCGAGTGATGTAAGATGAATTTCTTTCGTGATGACATGATTGTGCTGCCGTGTCCAGTTCTAGGTTCAACATGGCTTTGAGCTTGCAAGCAAGTGATTTCTTTTGTTTTTAAAATGTGCTGTGTTTATTTATTTATTTATTTTATTATTATTATTACTTAAAAAATTAAAATATTAAGGTGGTACTTACTGAAAGCAATAATCACTGTGGTCTTCTTGTCCTGTAGTTGGTAACTTCAATATATCTCTGAACTTCAAAGTAAATAATGTTATATCAAGAATTTCTAATCTAATTTTAAGTGTTTTATATTATTGTAGCAACATTTTGGTATCCTGAATTCATCCTCATAGTTATTGGTTCTGCACACAAAATGACCACAAATAATCTGATGTGATAGATATGGCAACCAGAGATGATAATATGCTGACATAAGTATGATTAAGACAATGGAAAGAGTTATCATTCCTGAGGTTTATGCAGAGTATTTCCAAGCTGACATAATACTCAGAGACAATAAGCAACACATTTGAAATACTATGACACAATTTGGGTAATAGATCATAACCATTTGTACAGGATTTACATGAATATACCAACACTATGACCAACCTGTCACTTGATGGTGACCATGGAAATGGCACTTTTGCACAGTATTTTGAAAAGCTGTCAACAAAGCAACACTCAAAATGATATTAGTAATGCTTATACTGTATAATAAGTGGGAGTTTTTGATTTAAAAGTCCTGAAATATTAAATAGTAGGGAAGAATTTTACCCAGGATTCAAAATTTTAATGAAAATTTGCATATTCACAAGATGACATGAATATAAAATAAGGTAATTTTAAAAAATGATAGGATCATCTTTCATAAGATGTTTTTCTCTTTCATTTGATATATTACTCATACTTCTATGATAACTATGATTGGAGTTATAATAGAAAAGGTATTTTTAAAAAAATGATCTATTTTTAACCACAGTTGCTATGGAAGTGGTCCTTCACAGGCCCCCTGGTATAGATATGCAAGCGGTGGCCACCCAAAAATTTTTCTTAAGGTCCATACTAATTAAAAAATGACATCACCCTTTGACAGCAACCGGTATTGCCCAAACCCCAAAATCGGCCCTTGGCTCCTTGGGTAATTGTCAAATTTCATTTGCGTAATCTCTGTCACCTCTTAAATAACTATAAAATGTTTTTTTAGAAAAACTTGATATATTATCTGCTGTTTTCTTTACCTTAATTCTATAAGGGGTTGGTCGATTTGACTGACCTTATAATCACTATAAAAAATTATAAAATAAATCTAAATAATCCATTTTACATTCTAGAATGACTGCAGATTGTAACAGGAAACCACAAATGTTTATTTTAAATAGCTCAAATCTCATAATGGTATACATCTGTTTATATTTATATATTTTTTTTGTTTTATTGGCCTTTGAACTGTGTCTAACTAATAATCCCACCACACAAGTTGTAAGTCATGCAGCACATGTTACTGTATTGAATAGCATAAAATTGGCTTTTGCAAAGTATGAATATCTTACTCTTCTTAGTCTTAGTACCATTATTTTGTAAAATGCAATCACATTTTGCTTGCAATACCTTACATATGTATATATATTATTATTTTTCACAAATTCAGTTATTTTACTTGAAACATAGAACAATAAATAAAAATATAGAAAATTATCTCTACTATGTTAAATGTTACAAAGTTGTTTTTTTTTGTACTCGTGCATTGTACTACTTAAGTCTTGTCAAATTTTGCATGTGGAGGATGTAAAAAATTAATTTTATAAGTTTTATATGTACATTTTGAAAACAAAAAATTATAAGGTACTATACTGATACCACAAAAATGTCACTGTAACTTATCAGGCTTCCTAACTAAGCTGTATTTGTGTCTAAAAAATCTTATTTCCAATCATCTTATTGCCTTGATCACCACTCTTCAAACTCTGCAATGGTAATAACAGCTTTACCCATGTAAGTACTTTAAGAATACTGACAGGATTATGTAGTTCAAAATGACCATTTTGATTGGTTATAAACATGTATTTAAGAGAAGTAGGTGTAGGTAACTGAAGTTCCAATTTTCCTGGCTATAATATTAAATCCATACCCAAATTAACAGGTACCAAGGGCATTGCCCTACTTTACAAAAAGAACCTCAAGATTGACTTCAAAATCGCTAAACTATCCCTTTATGTAACATCCACCATAGCAATTACCCTGATCATTACTCTTCTCGCTATCTTAGTTAAATTTAGTTTCCTACTGGATATCAGATTCATGAATAATGTAATAATGAACAATCGATGTGTAATAATTTTAGGAGACCTTAACCCAAATATCCTAATTTTTTATGCCAATTCTCTAACAGAAACGATCCCATGTTATGAAATTTTGCCCTTAATAATAACCTAGTATGAATAAATAAGGACCTACAAATGTGTAGATGGTTCTCAAGACATTTTCAATTTAGCTCTAGTCACGCCTAATTTTACTAACCTCTATATCTAACTTTAAAGTACATAAACACATGGGGGGGGGGGGAGATCACCTCCCCATATCATTTAGTCTGTTTAATAAAAATTCAAATCAACAGATACTTTGCCCTCCAACTTTTGACTTAACCCAAGCTAACTGGCAGGATTTTAAAAATTACCTTATACCAATGATAAAAGATTTCAGCAATCATGCTCGTAGCCCAGAAACAATCAATAAATATGCAAGCAACCTAACTGAAACCATTAAAACAGCTGTATTCACCAAGTTTCAACCATAAAACAAGTACAAAATCTCAAATTCTGGAAATATACAATTATATAGCTGAGCAACTGCACCTCTGCCGGTTACTTATGCAAATCCATGAAAATCAGATTAAAAACTATGATGAATAGAGAAACCAATAAAATTGTAGAATTAATCAACCAGAAACAGCAAATCAACTGGGAAAATTTTTGCTTATCAGTTGATGATTTGAAACAAGACCCAGCCAAATTTTGGAAGAAATTTAAATCAGTATGCCACCCAGTTCAACCACAAAACTTATAGTATCAACTATGATAATAGTTATGCAATGACTGATAAAGAATAAGCCCACCTGTTTGCAAAATACCTAGAAAACTTTCACCACACCAAACTTTCGTACATTTGATTCCGAACACTTTAACACAGTCAGTAACTTATTTCAAATAATTATAATCTTTTCTTCCCCAAAACACTAACCAATGACATGAATAGCCTTCACTGCATGATTACATGCCCTATAACTTTGACTGAAATTCAATTTAATATTAAACACTTTAAAAATAACAGTGCCCCAAGAGAAGATGGCATAATGAACCTAGTTCTAAACACCTCACCAATAACTTTTGTCATGACTAGACTTATTACCTAAAATCAAATAGTATCTTACCTAATACCCAAGATACATCGTAACGAAACCACCAAACAGCTGATCGTGTAGTTAGATTAAAAAAATACATTTTTCAAGGTTTTAATCAGAAACATTCTAGAGTAGGAGTTTTCCTGAATGTTTGCTGCACATTTGACTTAGTTTGGCACAATGCCTTAATATTCAAACTATCAAACTCAGCATACCTCCAACAGTCACACTTTGGATCATGTTTTCTGTTAGATAGGACAGCCATAGTCAAAATTAACGACATCACATTGAAATAATTTCAATTACAAGCAGGCATCTCTTATGAATTGGTTTTTAGCTTCTTATCATACATTATTTTTGTAAGCGATATTCTGTTCCTCGAACTGACCTCCACCCTGGCATCCCAGTATGTTGATGATGTATCTGTTTGGAGCATGTCTAGTAACCCACTGGCTGCTGCATGTAAAGATCAGACTTCTCTTAATCAGTTAACATTGTGGTGTAACAAGTGGCATGTTGCTCTAAGTCTAAAAAAACACAAGTTTCTATAGGAGTTTCAAACATAAAAAATATCACAAACAAGGTTAAAACTATATGATATCAAATTATCTTAACTAAAACTATTCAATTTTTAGGTATACCCTTGAACGTTAACTTAACGTGGACTGATCATGTTAAAAATATCATCTCTAAAATGAATCAAAGATTAAGCTACCTAAGGAAAATCAGGTGGGAATCCAAAAATTATGTCAATCAAAAACCATTATGCATATGTATAAAGCTTATATAGGATCATTAACAGAATATGGTAGTATGATCTTATGCAATATGTCTGAAAACCTACTCGACAAACTACAGTCACCAAAACTACACTTTAAGAATTGCCTACATATTACCCCTCTGTACTCCAATCACCTACCTCAGGAAAGTTAATATTCCTACAATCAAGGCAAGAACCTGTAAATTAAAATGTAAAGTTTACTCTAAAGCAATAAATCATAACTCACTAACCAGCCAATTTTCAACCCTTTCAGCCACTTGTGAAACATGGCACACCTACATGTTTCTCCAGAATCTGTTTAACACCTTGTATACATAGTTTGATATATGTACTAATCAAAAACCCTTTTAACCTCATAGCTCAAGCACTAATCGAATAGATTATTTGATGTTTGAGTGGTGAAAGTGGATTTTTCTTGGGGTACACCCATTTTCCTCTCACATAAATTTTTTTTTTGGTATTGGATCTGTAGATCTTCATCCACTGGATTTGCTGACATATCAATTATTTGTCAGATTTTTAATTTAGTGTATATGCTTACCACCGAGCTGTCTGTGGTTCTCAGATTTCTGCCCCCTCTCCACACACACACTTTTTTTTTTTCTTCTCCATGAAGCTCTCCAAATTAAAACTCTTTTCATGATTTGGCTTCCAAATTCTACATGGATTCGAGACCAAAAGATTTAAACCGAAAATTCTACTAAGTTGAAGTTAAACTAGTATTTCCAAATAAAGAAGAGGTGGGTGAAGCCATTGTGATGGGTTTGCTAAATATAATGATATCTGGGCAAATACCTTGTCAATATTGGTAATTTGAATTTCTAATTAATCAAAAACTGTAGATTTTACATTTTGTGACACCCACAATACAATCTGAGCAAAAAAGAAGGTGATGTACTATGTGGCACACAAAAAAATTTATATTTCACAATTGTTTTTATATTTACTTTTGAACTAGAAAATTAAATAATGTATAATACTAAAATTTGAATTGCAAACCATGCTTTGACTCAAATTTATGTATATATTACATTTATAAAATGGTAGTTTAGTAAAATTTTGAATGTAAGTCAACGTGATGACATGTACTTTGACCCTTACCTGTATGGAGAGGGTTAATGAGTATTCATACACTCAGGGACAAACTATTTTGGTAAGAAGCACTTAGAACTAATGAATAAGCAGTCATATTTATCACTCTTGATAAATTCTGATCTGATCATGTAAATAATTTTCTTTTTAAGCATTTACTGTAAGCAAACATTAGCTTACTCCTATGCATTTACTGATCATTCAATTTGACTGACCTTGTAACCATGAGACTATAATTCTGAATGCACTGAGTGTATCTCCAAGGAACTTGGTAATCTTTTAATAAACATGATGGAAGTTTGATTACATATTTGTATTAAAGAGTTGTCTGGGAATTTACAAAGACATTACTGAGTCATTCTGAGTGAAAGGTAATTTTTCATGCTAAGAATAAAATACTTCTTTTCATCTTACAGTTTGTTATTTCATTTTTAGAACCTTCTAAATGATTATGAAACTGCTTTTTTGGTAAAACTTTATACTCTATCTCTCATTTTTTCTACATTAACACTAACTGTACCAAAATCATCAATGTATAGGGAAACAAAGTTGAAAAAATGGAAATAATATCAAAAAAGTTTTTTCTAGGAGGACTGCAATTATTTTTTCTAATACTCTGGGCTTCTAATCTTCTCACACCTGCATTCTTTTAGTTTTATTACTGTACTTTAAACTGTATTCACTACCTTGATAAGCAATAAATCTCTCAGCTGGAGAGTGGATAGCTTATGGAAAAACAAATTATGTTACATCATGCAGTGTCAAACTGTATATGTTTCTCGAGAAGTGATCATGAACATTTTTTATCAGTTATGTTTTCTAACATAATATGTTTTTAGTTTTTTGCATTTGGGTTACTTTTATTAGAAAATGTATAATAGTAAATAAAAAATTATATAAAAATAAAAAAATTTAGCAACTGCCTTAACCATAGGCCTATTTGTACTTGGGAATGTATCCTGATTAAACTATTTTTTTTCCACACAATATTGGCTACTTACAAAATAATTTCAATAGCTTTCAGGTACGCATTTTAGAACAAAAAGTATATCACTACAATAAAATGTCCTAAAGCTACTATGATTTATCTGGCTTTCTAAATAAACTATAAATAGTTTGAAAAGATTACGAAAGGTTACGCTACTGTTCAGAGCATTGACTTCCTTCAACACGCATCATTTTCTTGGAAATATCCATCTGTGACCACCAAAATATAAGCAAAGAAAGTTAAAAGGGGTGATACATATAATTTTGCTCTTTCTGTTGGTTATAAACATGTACAATTGATACTTACCAGGTGGGTTAGAAACAATATTAAAAACATATGGAAAAAGCCTGGTTTGTAGGTTGGACAACTTTATTTATTGAGAAAATCAGAGATTCTTATTTCCTGGCCTGGCATTGTCTGTAGTTTGTGTTTCTAAGTGATTGGACACTGAAAGCCATAAAAGGGATGAAATAAAGATCTTAAAGAAGCAGAAATCAGAGCATTGGACATGTCATGTGACACAGAATGGTGAAGATTGAGAATTTATTTAAATATTTTCTTTTTGAAATTAAAACATATATAATATTAAACATTTGCACATACATTGATAATCAATATGTTTATCTAAATTGTGAATGTAGCTTTGGAAAGAGGCTGTGACATGCAAACTTTGACCCATCCATATGCATAGGATTAATTTATGATTAGATTGTCTAAACTTTTTTTTAATGGTAAAACTAATTTTGGTTTTACAGCAACTTTTTTTTTCAAGTTGTGAAACTGTAACATTCAAATTTCTTCTTTCATTTTAAATCTGAAGTTCACTCTTTGGTTGTAAATTATATTTCTATTAAATTGGAGTGATAAACTGAGAAATATTGCTATATTTTTATAAAACAATGTGCCATTTAAGTAGTTCTTTTGATTTTTAACATGATGATAAAAAAGTTAAGAACTATATTGTTGTTAGGAAAACCTATTTGTTTTCCTAAATGTGAGCTCTGAAAATATATTTGCTTTTCTTTTCAGGTTGAAGATCTCATCTGCTCAAATAACAAAGTGTTACAGTTAACTATTGAGCATGACCCAACTACACTTCCGAGGAGAAGCTCTCTTCCATATACTCGGCCACACATATCTGTGGATCGAGAGCGTATCTACAGGAAAAGAGAAGAAGGTGGAGGAGGTCGTTCAAGGCAGTTAAGAAAGGGAAGGGGAAGCATGGAAAGATCATCCTCTTTACCAAGGCTACAGGCCAAGTATATCTGTTTGTTGTTCTTTAGTATTTTAAACAAAAAAAATTAAAATTTTTCAGTTTTAAATACAAAAAATATTTATTTATGATATAACAAGAAAATTATTTGATAATTTGTGAAGTTGAAGTTTCTTTATATGATAGTGTTTTTACAATTTGTGTCACAAATTTCATACTTTACCACCTAAAAGTATTAATATTTGTTAATGTAGTAAAAGATGAACTTGTGACTTTCTCTGAAACAGTTTCTGGTTGATTTTAGTGATCCCCCTTCTACCAGTAAACATCCTTATGACTTAGGCAGGACCAAGTCTTTCCGTGTAGAGCCCAAAAGTCATCGCATTTTTCGTGCCTCAGACCTAGTCCAAGGAAAGTTACTGGGAAAAGGGTTTTTTGGACAAGTGTTTCTGGTTAGTCATGGTTTTACCTGTCCTGTAGTTAACAATAGACACAATCATGTGTTAAAAAGCAAGTCATACCGTGGAGGATGGTTCTCAAAGCTATCAATTTGTTGTTTTTGATCTTACAACTTTTGTTTTTACATTTTTTTATAGTGCTGTTCCATGATAAATATTGAACTTATGAATTTATCTGCCCCAAAATATTTGTCATAGCTTGTTACAAAATATTAACTGCTTCAATCACATAAAGTTTATTATGCTTATTTCCAAGTTGTTTTCTTTATCAGGTAACTCACAGAGAGACAGGGGAGGTCATGGTGCTCAAAGAGTTATACAGGGTGGACGAAGAAGCACAAAAGAACTTCCTCAAGGAAGTAGCAGTCTTGCGATCTCTGAATCATGAAAATGTTCTTCAATTCATTGGTGTTCTTTACAAGGATAAGAAACTACATCTAGTGACAGAGTATATAAGTGGAGGTACACTGAAAGAGCTCATTCATGACCAGAACGAACCTTTACCATGGGAACAGAGGATTAACTTTGCCAAAGATATTGCATCTGGCATGGTAAGTAAATGATTTTAAACCTGTAATATACAGAAACAATGAATTAGTAGTTTCTTTTTCTATGATCTAATTTAACTACTGCATTGATTAGATTTTTTTTCATTTAAATTAGACTGCTTTTGCAGATACAAACACCAACTTAAATAATGATGGGGGAGAATAAATAAGGAAGTTGGGAGGATAGTCTGAAGAGTCATAATAAGTGTGTGATTTATTCATTATATTATTATGATATTATCTTCATGTCTTTGAAAAATAATGTCATGTTTTTATACTCTGTTTTTGTTTAGTAGACTTATGTAATTGAATTATTGGCTTTAGCATGCCAAACTTTATAATAAGAACACAGTTATTTTGCTGTATTTTTAGTATAGTATATTTACTCCATGTTGAAATACCTCAGTCTTTTGTAATGTGAATATGAGAAGTTCTTTTTTTTTCATTAAAGTATACATAAAGCACTGTAATTGAAAAGTTAAATATTTTGTAATGTTGATATATGAAAATGCAGTAAGACTAGTCTGAGCCAAACCCTTCAGATCTATAGTTTTTCATTCTAATGAATAAATTTATAATATTTAATTTCATTTTTAGAATTGCTGTAACCTTTTATAACTTGTTTAAAAAACCAGTTTAACATTTCTGCATAAGCACATGCACATTTTTTTTAATCCTCAAATTAATGAATTGTATATATACCACTTAGCACCAATGGAGGTCCAAGTATTTTATTTTATTGAGCAATTTTACATTTTTATATTTTATAACCTTCATGATCAAAGAACTTACCCAAAAAATTTGGATGAAATCACACATTTTTTATGTAAAATACATAGGAAACTAAACCAATAATTAGTTAAATTAATTACAGTATTAATACCACTTTTATTTCCAATTTTTTTCTGACTAACATATTTTCCAGGATGATAACTCACTTCTGCACAGAGAAATGCTATCTTCCTCATGTGTTTGCCTATGAGATTTCTATTACACTAGTCTTGAGGTAACACGTGTTTAACATCAACTATGCTGGTGCATGATGACTTTATCATACAAAAAAAACCCTCCTCCAATAGGAGGGTGACACATCCTCTATCTGCAGTTACTGCCTCCTGTGCACTTGCACTCGTGATAACATCATCCTTTATCTTGATACTATATTGAACAGACATGTTCAAATCTGTCTGACTTCAATTTGACAAGATTTGCATTCTTTAATGAAACATTGTTTTTTTGTTATGCTTTGGCTTTAGTCTTCACAGCTTTATTATAATGAATTTTCAAGTGACAATGACTTCTTCTTTATCCTGTGTGATTGATGACATTACTTACACAGGTTTGACCTATATCTTCTGTGGTGTCCAGGGGATTGTTGACTGAGGAGGACATCACAGCCATCGTGCAATGTGATGTGTGTTCCATTGTGCTTGCTAGGCTCTCCATTTCTATCCATTATTTCAATGTTCCTTCCCCTCACTTTTAATTTTAACAGAAGGAAAACAAATTTGATCACCTTTTCCTTCCTCCTGGTTTTTCACTTGTTACCTCCCTCCTGCTTGAGTAAAGTCCTCAGCCTTCAACAGTTTCGAGACTTGATAATTCAGGTATGTTCCTTTCTTTCTCTTTTACCCGTGTCTTATGATTCTTCATGTTCTTTCCTCCATGATCATATTCCTTGTGGTTATTTAGCTTTTCCTTCTTCACCTGGCATTTGGGTTCACATTGACTCTTTCCTTGAACAACTTCATAGCTGTTACCATATGCCTTGTTCTTGTCACCTTTCTGATTCTTATGTCCTAGCTTACAGTCATTCTTCCTTTCCTTTTCTTGATTTTCAATCTTTGTGATCTCTATTACCTGCTTAGGGAGTGAACCCTCTTTCACCTGTTTTGCTCTTCATTTTTCACATTTTCGTCTTTTTCTCACCATCCTATCATACTTCATTACCTCTCCATCCTGCACCTTATGTCTGAGGCACTTTGTTGTGCTTCAGAGGAGTTTTCAGGGGAAGTTTGTTTCCTTCTTTTTACTACCATGGCCCATACCACTTTTACCCTATCCCCGCTTACTAGGTTCCTCTACTGTTGAGACTTATTTGGTAGGAATACACTCCTTAAAAGTGTATGCCCATTCACTTTTTATCTGGATGATATTTGTCAGGCTTCCTTTCTTTGCCCATTTCTTTGGCGGTGACCCTGACTCACTGGAGACCTGGGCAGAGTCAGCCCGACATCAGTCCTCATTATATTCCATGGTTTTTCACCTTTCAACTCCTATTTCTCAACTGTGTCAGTCTTCCACTCATCTTCCTGTTCCGTCTTCCAGAAGATCTTCCTTCTCTTCCTGTCCTCCTCACACTGCCTGCTATCAGCCATGTCACACATCTTGTTGGTGACTATTCTGTCAGTTTTGGACCTGTGAGTGCTCTTCTGTCTCAGTTCACTGACTTTTGTTCACAGTTTTCTACTGACAGATCTTTCTTCAAGTCCTCACCCACAGTCGGTCTCTCCATATTTCTTCTCCACCCCTCTCTCTCCTCTCCCCATATCCTTTTCTCCTCCCTCCAGTCTTGTTCATTTTTAGCATCTCGAGGAAGCAGTGTTGGATCTTTTTGCCAAGCACAGCATTGAGAGTGTACACATCTCTTCTGTTGGTTACACTCTTATCTCTTTGTGGTCCCCAAGAAGATGAGAGACTGGTATCTGGTAATTGATCACTCATCTGTCATTAATTTTCTGGTTGTTTCATGTTTTTGGATGGAAAATTTCTCTCCAGTGGTCCTTTTCAACTGGACTGTGAATAACCAAGGTTGACATTTCAGATGTGTTCCTTCACATCCTGATTGCACTGTTCTCCCTCCAGATGTTTTCTATGATTTGTCCATTAGAATCATATCTTCCAGTTCTGTGCTTTTCCATTTGGTATAGTATCAGCTCCTTATGTCTTGAATTGAGTCCTTAGGACCTTTGTTCACCACCTTCATGGCCTGGGACTGATATCACATTTCTACATGGATGATTGACTTCTCTTAGCACATTCCCAAGAAATATCCTCATCTTACACCTCTCTTCTCAAGAGACTTCTCATTTGGGATGGCTTGTCAAGATATTCAAATTATTTCTTATGCCTACTCAGTATTTGGTACATCTGGGTGTCTTCTTCAACTTCTGTTTCAGCTGAGCTCATCCTTCTCCTCTTTGCCTGCAAACTATGGAGTATCTTTTCACCTAAATTCCTGCTTTTTTCTTTTCTGTGTGAGAGGTTCTTTCACTTTAAGAGACTTTGGCTTCCCAGGAACCTCTTATTTTTTTGGAACATGCATACCTGCACCTTCTCCAATGGATCTTGTTGGACAGATTGATTCCTTTTGAGATCTACTGTCCTCAGTTGTCTCCCTTCTCATCTACTCAAGAAATTTTCATGGTGGGTGGACCATGCCAATACTACCTCCACAGTTCCTTTGCTACCCCCAGACCAAATCTCTATCTCTTCACCAATGCTTCCTGTTAAGGTTAGGGAGCTTCTGTGAATGATGACACGACTTCTGATGTTTGCGTGCAGGATGACTGCTCACACCATATCAGTGTACTTGCTGTTCATCGGGCATGTTCCCACATCCTGCCTCTACTGGTGAATCACTCTGTCATATTCCTCTCCAACAATTCCATGGTCGTTTCTTACATCAGTTGTCATGGTGTACCTATTCCAGAACCCTTTGCTTTCAGATGGTGGGGCCTACTCTTCTGGGCCCATTTGCGTCGGGTTCATCTCATTGCCTGTCATTTATAAGGAGCTATAAACCTGATGGTGGACCAATATCCCTTCTCTATTGCTTGAACCTCACACACATATCTTTTTCATCGGGAGACATTGTCTCTTTGTCTTGTTGTGTGGACTTTGTCCAATCCATCACCCATTGAACGAGACTATCCAATTGTGTACCCTTTTTCTTGTCACATTTCTGTTGCCCTACCACTTTGTCTATATATCAACTTAAGTGGCATGTCTACCATCATTGGCCATCTCATTTTTAGCCACTTTTCTGCCTTTTTTCACTTGGTTTTTTTGACGACGATTTGTTTTTCTCTACCATTGCTGGTTATTGGGTTACATTATCCAACATATTTTTCCTTTCTTGGTACCACAGAGTGTTTCCTTCCCCTGCTTATGTGCAAGTTTTCAAATAGTCATGCTCTCATTCTGCCCATCTTTACAACATTTGGCGTTAATTCGCCTCTCCCTCAATATATTCCATATGAAAAGTATACCCTGGTCGAGATGAGATATGTTTTCCCACAACTTTACTCTTATGTAGCCCCTGACATCTGGTGTCACACTCCATGGACTTCTGTTTAGGTACATTTTGAAGAGGCTCATCTAGGTAAATTTTAGCACCACCCCCTCCACCGTTTCAACATAAGATTCTAACATTTCTGTGTGTGAAGATGAGTTATCTCGAAGTTAACATTTTCCTAATCTGAAATTGTATTTCCAATAGATTATCACCTCCACAAACATTCCAACCTGTTCTTCTCACTTCAATTGCAAATTTCTTTGTCTTGCTTCATCACAGATGCAAGTGCATAGTGGGAGTTACTGTGCATGGAGGTTGTGTTGCCTTCATATTGGTAGAGGGCATTTGTCATATGATGATGTCTTCATACACCAGTGCAGTTCATGTTAAACACTTGAATTTAGGTGAAAGTTACCTGAAGGCTAGAGGCATGCAAATCTCATAGGCAGAGACATGAAGAAGATAGCATTTCTGACTGTGAAAGTATCTATCGGAAATACATTTTCAGATGAGGAAAATGTTAACATTAGGACCATTATAACCAACAAAGCCATGTATCCACAAGAAATTTGGTTTTGTTTTTTCACTTAGGTTTTCTTATCTAATCTGATAAGTTTCTAATTTTTTACATTTTATTTTCTTTTGTTAAAAACTAAAATTTACCACTTACTTTAGTCTTTTGCACTCAGATGCATGGTTTATTAAGCTTATTTATTCTCATTATGTTAGTTGTCCAAAAATAATTCATGTAGCTTTCAAATATGTATTTTATTACACGATAGAACAGAATTTCCCAAATTACTATAATTTATATTGCTCTTTAATCAATAAATTGGCTCAAAAAATTTCATTACTGCACAGAATCACGTCTTTAGTCTAAACAGATCAAACTCGTGGTGAACTATTGGTTTTTACTGTTAGAACAGACAAATGTCTGATTTATGTAGTGTAGGATTTGCTCTTATTATTGGTTATAAACATGTTCAGTAGCAATGTCAGGGAGTTATAAATGTTTATTAACACGGGTCACAGGTCAAAGGCCATGTCCTCGTGTTTGTTGACACGCATTCAACATTTTATTGAACTACTATTTTATGAATGTATGCCATTAAGTTTGGTATCAAATTGTAAATTATTATTATAATTAAAATTTTAGTATTATACATTTGTTCATTTCTTAATTTCAAAGTAAATATTAAAAAAAAGAATTCTAAATATTGATTTCTGCGTGTCATACATATGTTGAATGCAGCATTGGTTCAAATTTGATGTTTGTGATGTCCAAATACGAAATCTATAGTTCCTTATGAATTAGATACTCAAATTACCAATATTGTCAAGCTAGAATATAAAATAACAACCTCCTACATTTTCTATTTTCTGAGATATTAATACATTTATTGAGTCAACCAAGGTGGCCCTGCTCACTTCCTTACATTTTTGACAATACTTCATTACATACATATACTTCTGCCTGCAACATATGAATAACCAATAGAAAGCTCAGAATGTCTCTCACATGGTTCTATGAGTCTTTGCAAAGTATTTTAGCAGCAAACTCTTTCTTTTCATGCTATATTCCAAGCAGTAAGGTAAGACATTAGAAATTTAATATTTTTTAAGCCCAAATACAGCATAGTTACTCAGCTTGATGAATTATAGTGGAATTCTATGGTATTGATATAGAAATTTATGATTTTTGGTTATTTCAAAATGTATATATAAAACTTAAAAAAAAATTTTTGTTTCACATCCTCCATGTGCGAAGTTTGATAAGGCTTAGCAACCTGCAACAAGCAACAAACAAGTTCAAAGTTTGTAACGAGAAGAGATAATTGTTTGCTATACTTCTTTATTTACTATTCTATGTTATAAGAAAAATAAGTTTAAGAACTTGTTTGTAAATGAACAGCTTATGAATTTATTCAGCATACAGATTGAAAATTGTGAGTTAAGCTTTATCAACTAGGGAATTATTCTAATGCAATCATAACTTAGTTAGAAAGCCAGGTAAATTATAATAGATGTAAGATATTGTGTGCTTTGTGCATGTTATTATTGTGTGTCCTAGGTTGAATATCGTAAATAAACAAAAATATAATAAAGTACTAACAACAACACTAGTAAAAATTAGGGTTAATTTTTATTGACTAGTTGAGTCTGTAAAAATGTACAGGAACCAAACATAAGTACTAAATTTTATTTTTATTTATTGTTCTAAAAGTAACTAAAATGTGAAAATTAGAAATTTATTAGGTTAGATGAAAAAAACATCAGATAAAGATAATGAATTAATTTTTCCACAGGGTATGCATGTAAGAAACTTTTATATTAATTCAATAGAACTTGAACTATACATTTACTGGGTGATTCCTAGCTTGTTGTTCATATAGCAAACTTAAATAAAAAACAGGTGTAAACTGTTATAGTCTGTAGTCATTTTAGAAAGAAAAAAGTAATTTAGATTTATTTTGTATATATTTTTTGTATGTGCATTGATTATAAGATCAAACAAGTAGACCAAGCCTGTATAGTGTTAGTTTAAAATCCACCAGAGGTAATAAGAACCCACATTGGTAATGCTAAAAAGTGTCTCATAAATGTAGAATCAGACATACTTAAAACAGCTTCTAGTATAATGTGTAGATAATTAAGTCATAAATATATAATTTTGAAGTTGATTTTCACCCCCAAAATTAAGAACTGCTAATTGATGCTGTTCAGGTTTGTTTTTTCTGTATTAATTTAGAAATAATTATGTGTGTATATATATATATATATATATTGTTTTTTCAGTCATACCTTCATTCCATGAACATTATTCACAGAGATCTGAACTCTCATAATTGTTTGGTCAAAGAGGTGAGTATAGAGGAGTTTTCTAACAAAAGTAGTTCATAAAATGGTTTGTTAAATATATACAAAGAAAAATAGATGTGGAAATTAATTTTTATTTCTTTCATGTAAAGATAATTAGTAAAGTCATTGTTGTACATCAGTTTTGAATTCATATTTATATTGGTAGTTATTAAAAACTATTGCTGAATATTTACACATGGATAGGTTATACGATAAATATTTAGTGTTATAATGTAGGGTTTTTTCTTGCTTTAGTTATAACAAATGTAAAATAAGACTATTTGTGCTATACAGAGGGTTGAGTAAGTTATATTAATTTCTTATGTATTGAAGTATACGTTAATTTATAAAATTACCACCTTTCGATCTCACGCACGTGTCTCCAACAATGTATAAAATATCAAACAGTTTGTATCTATTAACCCTGAAGAAGCTGTAAAAGCAAAATATTTGTAGTATAAAAAACAAATATACATACATCTGGAGTGTAAAGGTCGTTTATCTAAACTTTTATCACAAAGTTATATTAATGTGATATTGCAACCTCACCGTGTTGTTAATCATAGCACCAGGTCCAGTCATGTGCTGTCTAATGACTATGCATCTGGAAATAACCCTGCAGCATAGTTACCATTGCAAAAGGCTCTGTCATAAGGCTTTTGTGTTTAAAGCACACCATTCCTCCCTTCATGCTTTCATAATGCATCTAGTACTTGAGGATAATGACTTCCCAGTGCCCACTTCAACAATGTGATCACATAGAAATTCATAGGCAATGTGAGTAATATGAATACTTTTTTCTTCTCCAGCTGCTTGAAGTGTGAAGCAAGCATGGCTAGAAGCCTTTTCTTGGTGATACCAATACCTTATTGTCTTCACTTACTTACAAAGCCATTATTTCTGTTTGGTGCAAAGGGTGCAAAACATTGGTCTGATAGTAAGCAGAATTCACCTTGACCTTTATATCTACTCTCTGATCCCTAACTAGCTTTTGGCATAGTATCCAGTGATGGTTTTGAATCTCTAAAACTTTTGGACCTTTTTTTTATCCAATGACCAGCACACAAAAGGCACAAGTTTTGTTATAGTTATCAAGGTATACATATATTTATCAGATACAACTATGTACTTACATTTTTCACTCACTAGGTACTATCTATACATTTTTCTGCAATTAGTCTTCATTTCCTGGATGTGTCATAAGAAACAACTTGCATATACATGGCATGTGGTGCTTTTTCAGAGGAATATCCTTCTTGATTATGTTGGATTGTTTTTTTTAGTCATACCTTTATTCCATGAATATTATTCCAGTGATCTGAACTCTCATAATTGTTTGGTCAAAGAGGTTAGTAGAGAGGAGTTTTCTAACAAAAGTAGTTGATAAAATGATTTGTTAAATATGTACAAAAAAAAACAGTCATATTAAGAGAGTCAAAGGGAAAAGTTTTGTTCAAAGTGTCCTGAACCATTTTACTTGTAGCTTTTCATTGCTGTGATCTGTATCCTGAAAAAGGTAGGATTTTTTTACTCATTTGGTTCTATAATAAAAGTTGAATTTGGATAATCTTTAAGTAAAATGACATGTTTTTGTTATGTGTTTTGTGTTTTTTCTAACAAAGAGCTGAAGAAAATTTGGTTTACACTTAGTTATACATACCTATTAAAATATTCTTTTCAGAAGGTATATTCAGCTGTAACACAGGCTTGACACAAAATATCTCTATCTGCAGGCCACCATTTGAAATTATGGAAATGTGACTACAGAATATGAGGTGTGTGCACAGTTTTTTTCAACCAATCTATGTGTTCATGGTTTCTCGCCTGTTATAAGACACCATACTTTTCTCACCACAGCTGGGGTATGACTTGTAGCAAGTCTCTTTCTGGATGTTCCTTGTGACCCAAGTTGATCCATATTCCTTTGTTTTCAAATGTCTAAATACAAAGGATATCTTCATCTTGCAAATTCTAAATCCCTAATCTGAACACATCTATGGTATGATTCTATGAATATTTTGTGTAGGAAAAGGCTGTTATATACCCTTACCGAAAGTGAGCAGTTTTTGGTGTCATCACACTACCTATGACATGCCAAATAATGTCATGATATTGTTCTGATGCATAATGTCACACCACAACTTTATATTGGCTTTGATTGTAATGTGACTTGCTGACCAGCATATTAAAAATAGTATAATATACTCAACCCTCTGTTGACTATTGTAATCAACCCTTGTTATGGATAAAGTAAGTTTTATCTATATATATATATATATATATATATATATTGTACATTAAGACTTGGTGTATGCCTGTCTGTACGGACCG